AGAGAACTGGAAGAGGGAGTTTGTAGTAGACGGTCAGGATATACACGATCTCTTGACAGATGTAGCCAATTATTGCCATTACCAAACTTAACTTCCGACCTAAACGATCGCTGAGGGTACCAAGCACAATTGAACTCACTACAACCGGTATATTAGTAGCTGCAGACAAATACAACAGCCATAGCGAAGCTTGTGACTGGATCTCATCCTCCATGACACCACCATCGGTTTTATTGGCTTGACACTTGGCAATCTCGTCTTGCTCTGTGATGTTAAACATTGATTCGCCTAGACGGCTCTTCAGGTAGAATGGTCTGAGTAGACCGATGGTGATGTAACCGACTACCGCCAGGGATACGACGGGTTCTACCGTCACCCAACGGCGTCGCGCCCGCTCGCGACTTGACGTCGTCTTGGATGGTGAGATGGGAGTTACTTCCGTCTCGCTAATCGTCATGGTTTCGGGGCAGGCGTGCTCAAACCTGTGTATAGTTTGTAAAAGAAACAGTCTTACCACATGTTAAAAGCATTTTCGAGATCTAAAAATCACTTATATTAAGCTACTTCCTGTGTTGACCTATCTTTAAAGCAAATAATTCTTTCTGGTTTATGCAACTCGAAGCGTCATGAAGTAAAATACATTTTTGATAAATCTACTCAACCTGTATTAATGACGAGGGAGGTTATCGACAAAAAAACTAATTTGGAAACAGAAGTGTGCCTATTTGGCTTTTGTTTTTACCTTTTCGTTAAGACTTTGACAGCATGAAAGCGTTATGATGAATTGTAAAACGGTAATTGTAAACAGTGTTTCTCTCACGAAAATTAATGATGTAATAAAGCAAATAGTTTAAGTAAACTTCTAAAAACAATTTAATGGTAAAAGTTAATCCAGCTTACCTTGAGCATAGAAGGGGAGGTGTAATAGGTTGATATCTTTAGGACACTGTGCTGGTCTTTGTAGGAATGTCGTCTGATTCCTCTTTTCGTAGTCTCCACCAGTACAGTTCACAACCAATGCTTTTCCACTTTTCGCATGAGATTCGTAAAGTGTAACCTATTAGGATGTAATAGTAAGGCCAACTGGAGAAATACCTCACACTGTGCGGCAGGTCATAATGTTATCTGGGGTGATGCTGTTCTAACAATAGTGACAGCGGGCACAAAGTTCATAAAATATACCATGCCAAAACCTGTGACTGTGACTACGAATTCGTTCAAGTGTCTGCGAACAGCGATAATATTTTTTTATTAAAAACTTCGTATGCTGGCTTTGTATTCTGTTGGGACCAATGTAAACATATCTCGTAAATACATGTATTATGCGAAATGTTAAAACCGACCAAAGGTGGATTCAGTGGCAACTTGAGATACGAAATATGCAATGAAGGCTTTGCACTGACTGAAGCCGAAATAATCGTGTGAATTGAAAGTGTAAAAGGAACCCTTTTTTGGGCATAAACGAGTTTAACTTATAGGACTTTCTGTTCATCCCCCGTATTGTTGATGTACCCTAACGTGGCGCGGCCCCTAAAGTTTTTCACCTGTAGCGTCTAGCTAGAGCAAAATTTCACAGAAAGTGAAATTTCATCAAGCTCTTAACACTCCTGATCATAAATCAAGAATTTATTTACCCGTGTAAAGATTTATATTTCGGCGTGATTTTCCGATTTTATTTCGAAGTGCACAGTGAACCCTTTGAAAAATGTCCCCCCAAAATTAGAAAGTAATTTTCTGACAAACTTCTAGTTGGGTATTTAAGTAGAGATAATAATGGTTTATCAGAATTAATCAACTAATTTTAAATTAAGTTTAATTTTTTGTTATGATTATTTCAGATTTTTTTTATTTTATGCACAAAAAGTTGATCACTTTTGAGTTTCGTGAGCTAGCACTATCTTTCCCAATATTCAGTCAATTGAACAGAGAATTTGAAAAATGGCCTGATGGTACTTAAATATCACTCTCACTAATATCAAAAGGCAAGTTAACTCTAACAAAAATACTTTTCCTTTGGGGGGGGGCGGGATACCTAAACAAATATACATAAACGCCGTTTTCCCCCGTTTTTCCCCCAACTTGGTCATGCAGTCTTTCACAGACTGACTGTTGACAAGGAAATATTGACGCCTCAATAAAGTACAAAATAAGGTTGAACATATGAATTGAAAAGTTCTTTTTGACCGCGTTCAATAAAAGTGAGTTTCTTAATCTAGTGCAATATTGTGATAAATACGAATAGGCCTATACGACTCGAAATTACACGCGCGTCTATTGTATCGGCTGCAGCCATTTCCCACAGACTCGTGTGTGAAGCCGGAGCAAAATAATTCAGACACGGACTTATTGTGAACTGACATCTTATTCACGAAGAAGCAATTTTTGATCGTGTTCCCTGAATGTTTTTTTTTTTTATAAATTGTAAAGAAGTAAGATGGTACCAGACTATTTATGCGTTCCAAGCCTCACTTTTTTTTTTTTTTTTTAAATGAGGCTTAAACATGTTTGATAACAAAATTATAAATCATTCATCATAGCAGACTTGTCTTCATTTGTAATCAACTTTATATCGTTGCTTTCATTTCTCTTCGCAAGTTCCAAAAATGAGGATTTTACCTCGCTTTCAATTTAATATGGCCAACTCGTGAATAAAGCACAATGAGCAAAAAAGGGCGTTGTCGTGGTGGTTTTTTTTAGGTATAGCCTACAAACGCTCGAATATTATAGCAGTGTTATTTTCAAATTGTAGCAACGTGTAAACTTACTTATATCAAAAATGTCGTCGTATTAAACAGCGCTCCTTCGTTCAAAAGCAAATCATCATGCGATCTAATATGCACTATTTGTTGATTCACCAACAGTGAGCGGTGCATGAATATTAACAACTTACCTAAGTACCGATGCATACAACTGCAAGCAGTCCTATGTTTTCAGGTCTTAGTGTGGTAAATATAATGTAAGAATTGAAAATGATTTAATAACGTGTACTCATGCGACAATTGATGCGCAGTTAAAGTCAAACATTATAAGAGGCACGTATGGATGTTGTCATTCCTGGATGCTAGACTGCTATGGTTTGTTTAATGCAAAGGTTCTTTTCAGTCTGTTCTTAAGGATTTCGATTAAAAGAGACGAATGCCTTAATTATCCGGCACTTAGTGTTATGCTAAGACCTCAGTCTTAGATATTTTAAGTGCTTTTATAATTGGTTACCTAATTTGTCAGGTACTTTTGTCCGCCTTCAATCTATAGATGCCAACAATAATTACTCCATGCTTTTCATCAGCTGCAAATAAAGTCGCTTCTCCCTCCATTTTTATTATCCTACGTGAATTACCTGCTATCTCGTTAAAGGTATCAATCAATCCATTAGGCGAAGTAAAAAAAACCATGTTTCTCGTGCCCGCCCGCTTCCTTTTTGGAGGCCGCCTGGATTTTTTTTATTATTTTTTATTTTTGAAAAATGCAGTAAAAAAACACCGAAAAAGTCCACAAATTCATCGGAAAATAAATTGTAGACCAATATGCAATACAAGTCTAAATGACACTGTAAATATGTTCAGTTCTCTTGTCCAACTTATCTTTCATTTTAAAAGTGACTTTGAACAGTGGAAACACCAACGGTTGCAGGAAATGTTTAAATGGCGGCCATCTTGAAAAAAATGAAAAATAAAAAGCCCCGCTTCCTCCTTTTTTTAAAAAACCCGGACGAGAAACATGTTTTTTTTATTTTTGGCCTTATTATTTTCGTTATTCAGTCTGAAGATGGATGGACCAATTATATTAATGAGAAGTTCCCTGCCGTTGTGTCGTTGGATCGCATTGCGTGTAAACGACGCATACGAATTGCCAGTGCGGGCCAGATCTAGAGGGTCATCACTGTTGCATTGCAGATATATGATCTCTACGTGGTTGACGAATTGATTTGTTTCATCCTGAGTGATGTCCAACATGGCCGAAGAAATGCTTACGTCGACAGCGATGGTACCAACTACCAACCAACCAGACCAGTCCTGGTCGGGACTGCAGCTTTTCACTTTCATCACTGACATTGTGAACACTACCCTGATCTTGACGCTCAACCCGGTATGCTTGGTTGTCATCCGACGTTCGAACATCCAAGAAACTACCAAGCTCTTTATGATGTCTTTAAACGTCTCCGACTTCTGTATGGGAGCCTTTGGATTTCTTCCAGGCATCATCTACACAGCTTTAGGATATTGGCCGTTTGGTAGTTTCCTATGCAGTGTCCACTTGTCGCTACGATATCTGTTTTTCTGTCAGTGTTTTATGTCATTGGTGCTTCTGACCATTGATCGATATCTTGCTATCGCTTTCTGCCTTCAGTATCCGCGACTGATGACTCTATGCAGAACAAAGACAATCATCATTTGCAGTTGGTGTGTAGTTTCAATGATCGCTTTTCTTGGTAACGCGTTATATGAACGTAAACTGTCAACCATACTACAGTGTCATCGTGAAGGACCATTGGTACTGACGCTCATTATCGTTGCATTTCTATTATCTGGTATCGTTATGGTTGTGATATTGTATGCGCACATCTTTATGATAGCAAGACGCCAGGCACGACGCATTGTAGATGACAACATTGCGATGGGCCAAAACGCACCACAGGGGATAAACACCAAAGCGTTTACTACACTGTAAAACCGTGTGTTTAACTTCTAAACACATATATAAACGCATATCTGTAACACTTTATAAACGTTTTGACGCGTTTATAAATAAACACTGAACACATATATGTTTAACATCTGAACACTAATATAAACACACAACTGTTAAACTTTGTAAACACTTTGACGCGTTTATGAATAAACACTGAACACTCATGTTTATATTTGAACACTAAACGTTTATTTCTTTAAACACATAAACATATGAACATGTTTTATTTACTGTTTACTTTCTAAACACAATGTACTTTTAAACACGTCAATGTGTTTATAGCATAAACACATTGACGTGTTTACAGCATGTAACACTTTATAAATGCTTGGACGCGTTTAAGTACTAAACACATTGACGTGTTTACAGCCTGTAACACTTTATAAATGCTTGGACGCGTTTATAATTAACTTGATGTTTAAGTACTAAACCAATGACGTGTTTACAGCCTGTAACACTTTATAAATGCTTGGACGCATTTATAATTAACTTGATGTTTAAGTACTAAACACTTCCTTTAAATCACCAGAACATATTTTTTTTTTACTTTCGTCTTTTCAAATCCACACGAGCAGAATGGGCATGTAGCCATTGAGTATAATTTTCTTTTCACATATCAAAGAAGGTTACTTTTTTGTTATATTTGGTTTTCTATAGATGTCAAGTTAGAGCAAATTTTGTTGATTCAATTCAGGGGGTGAACACAGATGTGCAAGAAATTGCTTCAGCTGTTAAAAACCTGAGATTTATAATAATCATTACAATTAATCTTGAAATGGATATCAGCAAAAACCATTTATGAAACATGACATAATTCATGATTCTGAAAGTGCCAGCTGTGACGGTAGGTTTGAGAGTGAGGCTACATGTACATATATAATTTTCTTTATCATACGATTAATATTTTTCATATGATCAATGCGCACAATGGAAAAACCTCAGTTTCATAAAAATGCCTTTAATTTTAAAACCAGCACTGATCCTTGTGTAACTTATCATGTTTCATTGATGGTCCTTCGTACAAGGTGGAGAACAGAAATCGTATCAGACTTAAAAAAAGAAAGAATAATTGTGGGTAATTATGCGAATCCAACATGTATATCGAGACGCTGCTGATGAAGAAGGGATATTTGAATGTGTTAACATCTTACACAAGCTTTGTAATTGGTTGGAAACATTTGATTTAATTGATTAAAATGACCCTCAATCAGTAAATTTTGCCAAAAATAAGATTTTTACAAAAAAGGATTTAAATCAGGAATTTGAAAACAAATTCATTTGATTTAAATTGTGATTTAAATCAGTGAGTTAACCCTGGTAAAAGAAACAGTAAATACATCTAAAATGTCTATGTAGATAATCCACTGATACTTAAGCAATGACATTATTCTGGTTCATTTTTGTTCAACATCTGAAATATTTACAATTCACCGAATCACGAGTTTCCCTTTGTGGTTATTTAAAAAGCTTTAAAATTACATTGAAATGAGAATATTTGAAATCGAAAATGTAACAAATTTAACACTTTATGAAATGTAACATATAACACTTGAACATGCACTGCATGTGTGGCGGAGCCAAAAAGTTGTTTAAAATTTTGTGTCATTTATACATAGGAGTAGTTCCCCCTTTCAAAATGCATAGCCTTTGTTTAGTGTTCCCCTGTATGCCTTGGTAGTGTGTCCCCCTGTTTGTTTATTTAAGTCCTCCAGTCCCCCCTATATAAGTTGCCACATGGTCAAGCCACACTTTAGTTTAAGTAGACCAGCAGTGAACATACATGTACATAGATAACACTAATGTTCCTCCTATAACTGGAGTGTGATCCTCATTGCTTGGGTTGTCTGCTTGTCTGGTCAGTGGTGAGTTTTCTTTTGTATTATTGTCTTCTTTTACTTATTTCCAATTATTTACAGTAGTTAAATCAGTTAGAGTTCCTTGAAAGTTTGTTTAGTTTACAGTCTGAGTACAAGTTGATTCTGGTCAGAGTTATCTTTGAATGATTTCCAGTTTCTAGTTTTATACAACTATTCAGATTCCATTTTGTTTCTTTTTACCTTGATTATTTTTCTCAAGGTATTACTGCTCTAATTACTTCTATTGCTGATAGTTGATTTATCCTACTTAATAAGGGAGTTTGGGTATTTTAATGGAAATTCCGTTTAATCAAGTACAATTTGTTCCACTTGATTCGTTTTATGACAGGTTAATCCTGAAAGTAGGGGATTAGTGTCTTCCACTTCCTTTGTGTGCCAGAACTGTTTATTGCCTACTGAATATTCATTAGATTATGTTTCTCATCTTAGTTTCCATGTGTTTTCTTGTTTTTGCAGATTGAAGTTAGAGTGAGCTTACAGATTCATTATAATTTACACACTGTGTTGGTTTTTGGTCTGTCCTTGTTCTCTGGTTATAGTTCTAGGTTTAAACATTGGGTTTTGGTTTTATAGTTTCTTTGGTTTTCGGTCATTTAGTTCCATCACATAGTTCTTTTAAGTCTTGAAGTTATGAACGTTTTTTATCCAGTACATTACTGAAGGACCTGAATTTGGCACTTTTTTTTCCATCAAATGGAATGCCACCTACTACATGTGACTGAAGTGTGCCCAGAAGCTGGGAATAGATCTTTGGATAATCTAGATCGAACACATAGTATACAGCAATCAATGTGAGCATCGCTGATGTTATAGACTTGTCACTGGTTGAGTGGCACATAATGCTTACAGTATCACCAACGACAAATGTGCCAGCAATTGTACCACCTTTTTTTAGAACCAGCAAATGGGGTGGGTCCCGGTCTCCTGTCTTCAAGACTTCTTCAACTTCATCATCTGAGATATCCTGAAAGCAAACCAAGGGTTTAAAGGTTGTGTCAAGACGTATCTGCAACTAGGCACGGAAGTATGGATGTAGTCCTCGTACATTCTGGGTAAACGTTTGCTTGCGATTTTTCATCAGCACATATAAGGGAACAGCTGCTTTTTTTCTGCCTTAAGTGTGCATGTCAGTAACTTAAGTCAAATGCAATTTCCTTACTCTTTGTAATTAAGTAAAAATATAACACATCTTCTAGTGGGCCAAATTCTCAAATTTTGTTCTTGAACACAAAAAATTAAGTGCCTCTTGCGTCTCACATATACCACTAAGCCATGGCCCTGTGGCACACGAGCGCAAGTGGGATAAATAACATTATCTTTGAGCAAATTTGTATATTATACTATATCGCATAGTCCATATCGCTATTCCAAGATGCAAGCAACATTTCAGCTGAATGCGTGCGCTAAACCGCTAAATGGTTGTGTAAAGCGTGTTAGTTATAGCACTCAAGCTTGTGGAACACAGAAATGTAGTGCATCCGTGTCCCACATACCACTCGGCCGAACACAGACGCACTACATTATTCAGTGTTCCACTTGCGCTCGCGGGATAACTAATATAGTTTCTTTTCGCCAGACAAGTTAGATTAAAAGCATAAAATTATCATTCACTAACCTCTTTAATGGTGATGACAGACTTGCTTTTCACACCCTTCCCTTTGTCAAAAGCTGTTGCCTTCTCAACATGGCGGATAACAGGGATAATCCTCTCAGGTTCCTATGGGCATTTCAGAACCAAATAAAAGCAATTTTCTTTCTATATACTCAGTGCTTCAAAAAATGTATCATTTGGTTGCCTAGCTGTTAACCCATTAACGCCGGGGAGCTTGTATAGCCGTAAACCCACTTTCCGCTAATCCCCCACTGTTAAATATATGAGTCGTGCTTGTAGGTGGGGGGGGGGGTTTGGAGGAATGTGCCGCGTTCGCCCCAGCGAACAGAGGCCGCTGTGCAGTAGCCGTAAACCCACTTTCCGCTAATCCCCCACTGTTAAATATATGAGTCGTGCTTGTAGGTGGGGGGGGGGGGGGGGGGGGGGGGTTTGGAGGAATGTGCCGCGTTCGCCCCAGCGAACAGAGGCCGCTGTGCAGTAGCCGTAAACCCACTTTCCGCTAATCCCCCACTGTTAAATATATGAGTCGTGCTTGTAGGTGGGGGGGGGGGGGGGGGGGGGGGTTGGAGGAATGTGCCACGTTTGCCCCAGCGAACAGAGGCCGCTGTGCAGTCATGCGTGTATGCTGGGCATTCGAAACCCAGTGTACGCAAGGCACGGGGTTCACATCCTCTCTTATTTACATCATTATCATATTTTTTTTTTGCTGGACGAAAGCACACAGGCAGACAGGGATGTCACATTGATCGAAATGAAGAATATATCAGGGGAGGTTCATGATAACATACGCCATTCGTATTTCATTCTTAATTAGAATGATATACGAGACCGTATACAAATCTTTCAAAATACCTTTGTTGATGTGCCGATGAGACTTTCCACCACGGTCAGGAAAATCTCCATCTTGTTTAGAATGGAGTCCAAGCTGCTTTCTCCAATGATTTTCAGGAAATCATGAATGACCTGTTAATGAACCAAAAGAAAACCTGTATTCAATTTGTTTTCCAGATAACTGTCAAAGTACATGTCCAACTATATATACCACTAATAATTCTCAAATAACATGTACTGTCTACAGATTGTCACCTGCATTGGCTTTTTGGGAGTCAAATTTGCGTGACCCGCAGTGGTGGAAATTTCAATCAACATGCGCATGTTTCTAGATCATTTTGCACACTGTGCGCACATATATGACAGCGTTAAATACATGTACACAGTTGTGATTTTTCTATGAAGAAGGCCGTCTATAAGAGTGGTTTATTTATTGGTGGTTGAAAATGTACTTTGTCATTCAGATCACTGTGATTGGGAGCTCTTTTATCTCACTTCTTTGAATTGACCTATCGCCGTTTGCGCGCCCCTTTAGACAACCCTATGGAAAATTTCGTACCCTAAGTTTTGTTTGTCTCAGTTGTTGCGTGTTCCGCATCAGTTTGTATATCCTTATAATTGGACAATACTTCACAAGCTGCGTTGACGCGATTCTAACGTGATTCTACCACGATAGGTCAATAAGCCTATGAAAAAGATTTAGTCCGCTTTATAATGACACCTTACTTTTTATACTCTGCTGTCTTGGATCCGGACGACTGATTTCAAAATAGAGGGCCAGCTAGTGAACCCATATTTTTGCCAAGTTGTGCTGATTAAAAGGTATTGACTTGTCCAAATAATAATGTCTATGGCGGGTCCAGATAGTACAGTGAGAGTACATTGTTTGGACAGTTCATGCCATCACGGATTCAGACAACTTGGCAAAAAAAGGTTTGGAGCTTTTGTTTTTAAATCAATGGTCTTCAGTTATCCATAACTGCTGGGGTATACCCCCTTTTTAGATTTAACCAAACTGACAGTGTTAATAGCTCACCTGATCATCATGTACCATTAATTGCGCTGAAAATTTGGATTGATGTGTACACCCGTTGAACGGAAAATCATTTTTTTTTCTCATCTGATTTCACCTGATTCGATGTAATCGGAAAGGTGTGCGGGCAGCACTCCAATTTCACCAGATGTAATATTTACAGATGCGGTCTAACCGCAAAGGTGAAAAATAAACATACTGGCGATTTTGTGATCCAGTCAACAAGTAAACTTCAGAGAGGTGCGCGCTGGGCTTTATGCACTGGATCAGCTTTTTTTGGATACTTAAAATACAGCTTAAATTAAACACACTTACCAGACTGCCATCTTGGTAGCATGGTATTTTCTGCAGGATTGGCTCCATTTTGGAATCTGGTAAACTTTTGATCCATTGCTGGTTGCAGGCGAAGGTTTCACTAAGGAGGAGCATCAAGTGGTTCTTGTTCTTGGTGTTGCCTTTACTCCATTCTCGTCTTACTTCAGCAAGATGATTCTCATAGTCATCAGCAGTCAATGATGAAACGTCTTTCTGCAGCAGATGGACATGTCCCACACGGGGCGCTTTGGCAGAACTGAAGCGTGGATTATCACTCTGCCTTTTTGGGGGTTGTGTCTTCTTCTTTTCAGCCCATCTTATGTGTCTGATTCGCTGACTCAGACACTTGGTGAAGAACGACTTAAAAAGAAAATACAAATTAAAGACATACATAAAAATACAAGGTAAATAGAATAATGGAGACATATTTTTGTAAACAGAATTCAAACAAATTGTTTGCCAAAATAGTAATGGCTTGCCTTATGGGCTCCCTGCACAAGTACTCATTCAACGGCAAGAAAAAGAGAGTTGGGGCAGACCTAGACTGGTTCCAAGTCCATCTACTGCCTATTTTGAATTATTCAAAGTTATTGGGGGCAGGGATTAGTCTGGAAGCCCATCGCAAGATAAATTTGCATGTTTTCGCGCACTGACGCCGCCTGACGTTAAAGATGCTGGGCTAATAGCTTTGGCACATTCTGGAAGTCGTGCGTACTTTGCGAGCGAACCAATACAGTATAGTACGCAAGCGCTGTGTGTCCTGTCCACCGTACTCTATGCCCTCTTTTGTTTGCGCAAGGGGGCCCATACTCAAAGGATGGGAAATTTCAAGTGCACTCCAAGGAAAAAACAATGTAGATGGTTGCAAGATTATTCCACACCTTATATATTTCAGCACAAGTAGAACATGTATTTATAACCAGGGAATTTTGATGCGGATCGAAACACAAATGATGCAGATCGAAACACAAATCCAAAGGTGCTGAAATACCAAATTCCAAGATGTTAAAAAAAATAACTTATTGTCCTACAGAGGTGAGAGATTTTTGAGACAATAATTTCACAATGCACAAAGTTACCCCTCCCCCTTCCCATAGGGAAAGAATGTTGCAGCTTAATTAAGATGCGTGATGTGTGGACCTCATGAAATTTCAGGGTTATCAGAGCCATAGCAACTGCAAATACGCACACGAAATAGGCAATCCCCTACATGTACATGTATATGCAGTTTCTTTCTGGCATACAGATTTCCTTAGCGTAAATGTTTTGACAGGTGTATGCACTTTTTTTACACATGGGATGAATATGGCAACCATAAGTCCATGCATGGTAACATACACATTTTGAAGTTTGTATAGAGACATGCATCTTCACAACAATCACCAATTATTACTCCTTACCCACTCCTTGTCTCCTTCACGTGCAATGCTTGGAAAGGCTGAGAACATCTTTCTTCCAATCATCTGGTACTCTCCTGGGCTGCCTAGTTCCGGATATTTGCAAACGTAGAAGTTCGCTGATTCCGAAATTAGTTCCCTCCAAATCCTTGACTCTGTTGCCGATTTGAGGTGGTGTTCTATACGAGGACTGAATGTGGGAAGTGGGCTCGATGATGTAAGTCGACATGATGTGGGACTAGCCTCACCAGCATTTGATGAGCCTTCAGCAATCGTCACAGCTCGTGCTGGTGATGAGGCCATGCAAGCAGGGGTAGTGTCTCCAGATCCAGTAGCTGCAGTTCCTGATGATGGAATAGTATCTGCAACTGGAGTATCCTGTGTTGAAGGTTGCCATAGTTCGCCTTTCTTCAGAAGAATCAAAACTGTCCCTGCGCCCAGCTCCAGCAACACTTCATCTTCGTCAACATCAGTTCCATCTGCTTCAGTAACCACGCTTACTTGGAGATCCTCTTCAAAACCAAATTTAGTTTTGCCTACGGAAATAAAAGAGATTAATTTTACAGCATTAAGACATGTATACATGTATGCACTATAAAATACAACTAAAGTAACTTGACACAGCCATCTCACCAGGCTTTTTAGTCAAGGTGGGGGAAATTTAAAATAAAATGTTGCAAAATTAACAGTGGGGGACATTTTCGGAAAAGGGTGGGGAAGTTTAAGTATTTTTAACGTGAGGGCGATCATTCTCAATTTTCCCGTCATGGGGGGGGGGGGGGGCGGCGGAACCTTGGCTTAGGTAAATGCCCAGTGTGACGACTGTTTACTTCATTTATAGACAAAAATATGAATCTCTTATAGTCCAAAATGGCTACTATTATACTATAAAGTTGTGTGCATTTACCTTGTCTCCAGATATAATTAAGTAGTCTTGCCAAACCTCGGTATTAATTGATGAGCTTCAAATTCACCAAGTTGCTTACTGGCACAGTTACTCTATTAAAACCTTATGGAAAATCACATGAACAATGATAACATTGTGATATTGAGCCCAGCAAACAAAAACGGGAAAACACGACGTGTCCGGAAATCATGGGAGACTTGAACAATTAAGTTCAAGGAAATTCTCACAATTATTGGTATTACATTTTGACGTCGACAAAACTATTGTAAACAGCAATAATCTTTTATTTGGGGGCTTTCCTTGAACGTGTTCAAGTCTCCCACATGAGGCAACCCTTTGCCCGAGTTTTAGCCCAATTAACAGGCACCTTTATTTTTTTTTTGGCTAAATATCATTGTCTTTCCTCCATTTTTCACATTATTTTCCTTTTTTGTTAGGGTAACTGTGCCAGTAAGTAACAATGTGAATTTGAAGCTCATCAATACTGACGCTTCATGGCTAGACTACATGTACTTGATGATATCTGAGGAAAGGTATGCGCGCAACTTTAGGGTATAATGGTAGCCATTTTGGATCTTTATTATGTCATCATAATCATCCAATCTCTGATATGCATTAGAAAAAGTTTGTTTAAGCAAGGACATGTAAGTAGAATCACCAAAATATACTTTAACGGCAGGTATTAACGATTTATATATATTTGTTTACTTTACATTTGATTTACTCTAATGAAGTGAAGGAGTAAACTGTCAAGTAACACATGTGGGTGCTACTGACTAATAATCAAACTTATATGCAACAGTATTTATCATCAAGCAAACTTGAATCCTCGATTCTGATTGGTCGATCCATGCATGGCAACCCTAGTGCGATATTATACAGTGCTGCATGTACGGTCCATATATATCGCACCCTGCGTATTGCGCTATTCCAAGATGCGAGTGACATTCCAACTGCATGCGCTAAACTGCTTAAAGGTTCGTATAAAACATGCTAGTTCACAATTTACTGCGCCTCAAGTTTGCTTGTGGAACACAGAAAATGTAGTGCATCCGTGTCCCACATACCACTCGGCCGAACACAGACGCACTACATTATTCAGTGTTCCACTCGGACTCGTAAGATAAGTAATAATATTCACATACCTTTTTCAATTAACTCCTGGAGACTGTTGGCTGCAATACTCTTTCGTAGTGACCTACATGTATCACTACTCCATACCTTAAAGACAGGCATATCTGTGAATAACTGGCAAAGTTCTGCAATTATGGATATGTGCAAATTATTGAAAAACAGAAATCATTGCAGTTTCAAGTGGACAATATATTTGTATTTTACCTTTTTTTAAAAACACTTGTTAACCCTGAAAGAGCTTGAGGATCTGCACCACCCATCCTCAGTGCATTTGTTTCCTATTTTTTTTTTTTTTTTAAGAGATGAGCAAACCACGTACCCTCCTACCAAGCCTAATTATAATAGCAAACACTTTTCTTTTAAAGTTAGGCCGTGAAATATCATAGTACCAATGAAATTTGTCAAAACGTGACATTTCAATTCAAGACCATATTATGTGATGCGATCAAGCTAAATGAGTCGTTTGTTGGCAATTGTGATTTTAAAATACAGCCCAAATAGGTCAGTAGGGGTGGAAATTTCAAAATTGACATTTTGGTAAAGTTGGAAGGCTATGTCGTCGCAGAGCTGCCAAACCGGCGTATCGAACATTTTGCCGATTTGAGATTTTGTAGTTTTTAAAGGTTGCTCTTTCAAGTATTTATGCCCAAATTCCTAATTCTTGTCTGGATTTTGAGATTCGGAGCCCTGCCTGTGGCGAATCAGTCAAAATAACAAATCCATAATTTGAGTGACAAATACGGAATTTCGCTGGTTAACCTGCTAATGTAAGGTGTGCTTTCAAAGTACCAACGAAAGTTATTCGTCAGTTTGTTGGATCGCGCGTGCGCTGTATACAGTCCAACTTCAAACGTGAATTACTTGATACAAGGTTTTCGCTTATTCGTCGCTATGTCAGCTCTGCGACGATATGTCCTCTTTCATGTCAAATATTTTGTTTCTGAGAAAAACTCAGGATAGGTAGTTAAAATGTGACATTTTTGCCAAAGAGTTAATATCCAATAACCTGAAATAAAGCATGTTTTTTTGTTGCTTAATAAACACTTCAATTTTGAATCGTTGATTTCTCTGTTAGATTTCTCTGTTTTCTTCTCAGTTTCTGATCTGCCTGTGTTCTAAGTCCCAGAACTTCTGAACTGAAGGTTGTGTTCACGTGGGGTTTTCATCAAATACAATCTGAAAAATAGCTCTCTTCTAAAATGAAGGGAAAAAACCTCAACAATTTGATAAGGGCCAACAAACAACTCCTTCAGCTTGATCGCATTACATTTTTGCTTTAAAAACAAATTTTCATTTGGATATTTTAGAATATATGTTTAGGCCAAATAAAAAAGTCTCCGGTTTGCACGTCGGCTTTGTTTGATGATGTCTCAAAACCGCCAAACTCACTGGTTTGACTGGAATCCTGCTGCTGCACAATTTAAACGTGTTTTTAGATGGGGTTACGATCGAGTTCAAGCTTTATGCGGCCTCTCTGGACTCCCATATATTTTGCACTAAATTTAGTCTGGAACCATTTGCAGGCAGCCGACATTTGAAGAAAAAAAAAGTAAAAAAAAAAAAGCTGTGTCGCCGCACCACTTTTGGGGCAAGCTCCATACCAGAAACGGGAGACTTTTTTGGGGGGCCTTATCATGGTTTAAGCAGAAAAAGGTAAACTGGACATTATCACATACAGAAAGAAGCTGAACGAAAGCAAAAGCAGGTACTGCAATCTAATTTGATAAAATATCAATGCATTCAACTGCGGGGAAAAATAGGATTTACAGGCAGAACAAAAGATCTAAAAAAAAAAAAAAATACCAACAGGAAGAAACAATTAAAGGTGAATTTTACGGGCACTTTAACCACTGCAAATCAGCAACAGGCGTCATCACTCTCAGAACAACCAGGAAAGCAAAAATTACAAGCATTGCCAAAGCTCCATGTAATCTAATTGCAAAAGTTGCAATAGATGTGGGTTTTTTCAACAACACAATTAAGCAACAACACAATTAAGAAGAAAAGGACTTGACAAAGAGGTCATAGAAAAGTGACTGATTTCTACAGAGATAATGAAATATCGTGGCAAACATCTGTTATGAAAGACTTTGTAATTATTTGAGGTACATGTAGCGGTACTAACCTGACTAAGCAAAGATACAGAAACACTATCTTTTGACAAAAGTCATAAGGAAACACATGGGTGATTCCACCCCGACGTGGACATATGACTCAAAGAATTAATTCGCTCTCAGATATTTTCTTTTTACTTTTTAAAATATTATTCCAAATACATGAAGCTATTCCACACAAACGTGGACAAGGCTGAAAAGTGGAAACTGTATGACATCTTCCAAACTACAAGTACAAGCATCACATGTCAAATGAAAATCTTTCATTTGAGTTGTGTGCAATGAGATGAAATGTAAGTAAGTGTGAAACTGTGGTCAAAGATTTGTTTTTCGGGGGGCTAAAATCACTATTATAAGAAAAGAGTTTCATTATACGCTGCAATTTAACAAACTCAGACTTTATGACATGTTAAAAAATGTATGAAGAGGAAGTAACGGGAGTGCATAGTGTGAGTAACAGTACATGTACATGTACCTCCCTCTCTGATTTGACCCCAACTACTGAGGTTTTTTTTTTATATATCTAGCTATCTGGGTTGAATGAAAGGTTAAACATATGTAACTTGTGTTTTGCAGACTACAGGTTGAGGAGACTACAGTTTGAGGCAAATTGTGCACAAATTACTTTTTGTAACGTGAGTGACTACCAACAAAACACATGTTTTCAAAAGGGAATGAATGGGCTGAATGTTTCTTTCCATGTTTTAGTGCCCCTTACCCCAAACATAAACTCATTAATTTTGATTGAAATTATCCCCATATTGTTTGTAATTGATACTCAACACACTAGGCTAGATCAAGATGTCGACTTGTATGCATTTGACAGCTGTGCAAAATGGTAAGTATGCTGAAGGGACACGTGCCAAAATACATGTATCACTCATTATTATTTTGATAGTGTTATAAAACAAACAACACTACAGCTTTTTGATCATCTCTGATTTGACCCTGAATACTGAGGTAAATTTACCGCATCCCTAGCTGCCACAACCCAATTTTATAAGGAAAATTCCAGTTCAGAAAGCCACTGTCACAGAAGAAACAGCACTTACTACCACTGTATCACAATAGCATAGTACAGTAATTGTAAGTATTAAGTACCGTATCTTCGCAGTCATGGTGACATTTGAAGCACTTTATTCCAAGCAAAAGTGGACAAGGCTGACAAACTGTATACAGTCGAGTCTCGTTAATACAAACTCTGTTAATACAAAATTCTGGTTATAACAAACACAAAGCCTTGGTCCCGACTGTGCATTGTATGTGCACAATGAATGGGACTGATGTTCCTCTTAATACAAAATTCTGATATATAACAAACAATTTGGCTAGGTCCGAACGAGTTTGTATTAACGAGACTCGACTGTACAATCAATTTCAAACCAAGTATCTTGTGTTGTGAAAGTCAGATATTTTATTTGAGTGGTGCCACTCAAATAAAATATCTGACTTTCACAACACACGATACTTGGTTTGAAATTGATTGTATACAGTTTGTCAGCCTTGTCCACTTTTGCTTGGAATAAAGTGCTTCAAATGTCACCATGACTGCATGCCTACAGTACTACACATATAACTTACAATTACTGCACTATATGCTATTTTTACTTGTGTGCAACTTTAGTTCAAAAACTTGTGTTTTTGTGGCCAAAATCATGGAATGTCAGTATACATTTTGGCACATTGTTTTGCATGAAAAATGTGAGTGTTTTGTCATGTGAGTTTAAAGCTTTTAAGGCAGATAGAGAGAAAGGTACAATAGATGTTTCATTATGTTGCAGTTCAGGAAATAAAGATTTTATGCTGTGCTAGAAACATCATGAAGAGGAAGTAATGTGAATGATGTAATGGGCATATCGTGGGGCATATCGTGAGTGATGGTGGAATTGCCCCTATAATTACTGGCCATGACAATTATGCATGCATCTTAAAGCAGTTCACACATGTGTGAATACTTATTAATTACACACTTTTCCCCATCATAAGCATGTACACTCAGTGGCCACTTAGAAAATAACTGTGAGTATGTGACCCCAACTTGTTCACCAGTAGACCTCAACACATATGCCATGATGTGAGCATCAAAAGTCTCAGTTTCCATGGACTCAACTATGAAGATCTTTTCATCATTGATGACTAAGACACTTTCCAACACTGCAAATTTTGGCAAGTCATCTTCATAGGAAAGGACTAGACAACAGCCTTGTCGGTATTCATGTCCTAGGATGGCAACACCTGTAGTCCTGTAAACCTGAAGGCCTTCATGCAGCTCAATACCAAGAGTGGCAGCTATTCCATCGACAAGTTGTAGAGTATATTCATTTCTCAAAGTGATGGACTCTCCTTCATTGACAATGTCACCTCTGTACAGAAAACTGCCATTTCCTTGGCCCATGGAATCAAGTTGCTTGAAACACATGTACTTCTGATGTTTCAGACTGATGCTCAGTGGGAGGTTTTTGTAGCACCTCCATTTCTTGGTTTTGAAGAAGCCGTGTTTTGCTTCAAAACGCATACACCATTGATGTCTCAAAGGTCCATACTGAAGCATCTGTCTTGGAAGGTGCACACAGTAGTGCATCTTGGGGGTAATTTTCCCCTTAGGATAGAGAGTAGCAAAGGCTGCATGATGATCATATGTGATCTGAGCAAGTAATGCTGCAGTACTGTGGCTACAATACGGACTTGTAGAGAGAAGTGTCATCTGTACCAGTCTTAGGAAATTGACCCATTTGGCTTCTGTCCTGGGTACCTTCGGCGAGATGATATATGGCAAAACACAAATGAGAGTCATGGTCGCCGCTGACGTTTGTTTAAGTTTTCCCTCTCCTTTTATGTGGTTCATGTCAAGAACTTCAGGCTTAGCCCCTGCTTCTAGATAAGAATAGGGAAAGGAAGCAATTCTAGAGTTCAGCCACTTCAGTGTGAAGTACCTTGAAACTGAGATGAAGTTATGTAGCATGTACTTCAGCTCATGGGGGATTATACCTTCCAGAAAGATATGCATCGGGTCATGCACAATACCTGAACACAGCCTGAAATCTGGGAGATCTTGGAGACAACTTTTACCATTGATGCCCCATTGCTTGCTCCAATATCGCCTTGCAGCTTTCGACAGATTGCCGTCAAGCAAATTACATCTTCTCCTGTGTTCTGCTTCATCCCTAAGGACAAATTCCTTTTCCAAGAACTTCTGCTTCATCTCCAATTTTTCAGTTTCACAATTCCTGCAAGCCCTACTTGCAAACCCAACACCCTCCTTAAAACCCCCAAGCATCTGTGCTGCTGGAGTGTCACATGCAGCCAAGACCACCTTTCCTTTAACGTTGATAGGTGCACCATTGACAGTCAACTCAAGACCTCCTGTAGAAAGACTTGTTGCATCTTTGATGAAGTCACTCAGGAAAACGCTAAGTCCGCATTTTTTGACATCCTTACTCCTTGCTACACCTAAGAGCTGTATGGCATGAAGTTGTGAACGACACTCTGGTGGTATGTTTGCCAAGGTATAATAAAACATGCTCAATTTATGTTTCTTGGTGTGAGATCCAATCGGATTTACGATTTCTATGTCGTCTGTGTGGAAAACGACCTGAAGAGCCTTGGGATTTCTGTGAAAAAATAGATCGGACCTCATGCACAGCCCATCACAAATGTCAAACATATAATCTGGAGGGCTGGTGTGTGGATTATCAATGTGCTTGTGAATGTCTGCCATGCGCAGTAGGTTAGTTAAACTTTGAGCAAAGGGCACGACATAACCAACGACATCTTTTCTCACTAAACTACCCTTACTGGTAACATACTTCTGTCCTATTGTGACACTTTTTGGAGGGATATAGAAGTAATCTTGCTTATATATGGCATCCCTTTTTTTTCGGGTATCAATGTCAGCCAAGAAATTATCCACTGGAATTGTATCCATGAAGTCAAGAGGAACACCCCGATCTCTCAGTTCATCTTTAGCCCTCGACTTGAACGATGCCACATGCTGATCAATCAGTACAGAAACTGATTTAATTACCTCATTCACAGAAGAATGTGTTAAATTGTGTCCACTCTCTAAGGCCAGAGAAAACATAGTGTTTTGGTGTCTTGTAGCTTCGTCTGCAGTCATCTGTAAAGCCTCATTTACAAAAGGTACACCATCCTCATTTTCGTCACCACTGGAATTACTGTCTTCAGCAGTGTTGTCCAACACATTAGGATCAATGTGCTTATGTTTTCGACACATGTGAGCTTTAAATGCACCCCAGCTTTTCGTGGAATAAAAACAATTACTCACACTACAAAAAACAATGAAATTGGGATCATGGCGGTGACATCTAACAACATGCCTGATGAACTGACCATAAGACATACTGACATAGCAGCACATGGAACAGTTAAATTGAGGTGCCTCCATCCCTGAAGTTTTAAGTAACGTACCAATAAAAGAAAGAAAGGAAAAGAGGAAATAGGCAAGAAAAAAGAGAAAAGATGATATTTCGTATAATTTTGTACACAGAAAATTAATGAGGAAAAAATGAGGAAAATTACACAAAAAAAAAAAAAGAATCGGCTTAAAAGAGGAAATTTCACATGCCTGTGTGAAGATAATACAAGTATAAAAATCTACAGCTAAGAATTTAGGTCCGGCTACATGTAGTAATTATAGCTTAACCTATACAGGTATGTGATATAACTACCAATGGGGAAAAATGAGGAAAAGATATTTCCTATAGATGCTTTTGTACACAGAAAGTGAAGAAAAAGAGGAAAATCAAAACCACTAAAAGAAGAAATCAGCTTAAAAGAGTAAATTTCACAAGCCTGAATTCCAACACAGCTTGTTCATTTCAGATTGCAGTACCTACATGTACTTAAAAAAAAGAGCTAACTACAGCAATGGGGGAAAAAATAGGGGAAAAAAAAAGTAATCACAAACTTCAATTAAAGTTATCTACAAACATGTGATTAAGGCACTGCGTTAGTTCCCAAACCGCAATTTGGGGTTACGTCTGTCCCGTCAACAGGCTTAGATAAAAGCCTGCCGACATCGGTAATGTCTCGACTTTTTCAAGAGACAAGACGCCTCTAAACTTATGTAATTGATAATTAAATAGTTTACTGGCACAGTGACAATCAAACTATAGCTTGTTAAATATAGGTTATACAAAAAAATGTATGCAATAGATTATACGTGAACAATGACCTCTTACATATTACACTCTCAAGACTATGCGCGCAGCACATCAGCACATCAAACCTGCCCGACGTTTGTGTTGCCAACTGCAAAGGAGAGAGGCAGAGAACAAGTATGATATGGTACAGCATTGAAACAAATCTAGCATAATATAACACAGAGACAACATTAATAAGGGAATAAATGTGTGTTCGGGAGGTATTATAACAATCTGTTAAAGACCGGTGTGAGTCTGGATGGGTGATAATTACCCGAGGCAAAGCCGAGGGTAATTATTACCATCGAGACTCCCACCGGTCTTAAACACTGACCGAACACATATTTATTCCCATTCATAAATACTTTTTCGGTCGAAAACCCCCAAATCTTTTGGTCCAAAAAATAAAAACAAGTCAAAAAGTAGACGTTGCCAACCATTTTGTTCAACGGTTTTACTTCATGTTTTACAAAACACCCCTCTGAATATAATATGGAATGCCCCTCCACAACTCGTTACCTTATAAGGACATTGGCGTGCGCGTCGCGCGTACGGGGCGATGTCGCGCAAAACGCAGCTGGGCTGGTATAGTGTAAATTTCGAACCATGAAATACTGATTCACTGCAGGTACTATATTGCGCATGCCTACGTGAAGAATGGGGTCGGTAGAAAAACCGCAAGAAGACTATTTTGCATTATTGGATTATTTTTAAGGAACTTCTATGATATTTTTTTTTGACAAGGCCGGCCTTGTTTTTTTATACCTCCCCCCCTGGTTCCACGCCTGCGCACATTTACCAAAAAAAAAAACGGAACGAATCGCAAAAAAGTCCTAAAAAGGCCTACGATCGGAGCACGCAAGTGTATGTATGAACCTGCAAGCAGAGTTTGAGGCCCATGGATATCGGATCCATGTAAAATCAAAAAAATTCTGTAGCCTGTAGGCCTTATCTTACTGTGACTGTGAAAGCAGAAGGCCTAGGCCTATGCCGGCTCTAGCACAGAGTCTACTCAAATGTGTGGCCATAGAATAGGGTAGCCTATCCACCACTAGTACTAGGCTAGCATGACTATCATGACTATAGGCATAGCTTAGGCCTAACGTAATAGGCCTACATCATTCATGGCGATTAATTAATTTGAATAGACCTAGCATGCCCAGGGCAATGTACTGTAGGCCCTGAGTCATGCTAGCATTTGGCTAGTTCAGTTGTGAACACAAAGAGAGGGTAAAATGTTTTAATGGAAATATTTTTCGGCTTGAATGTCAATAGCCTACTCAGCATACATATAGGCTAGCCATGCTTAAGTTGTACTTGTAAGTTGTACTTTTTGTAGCTGCTACAAAAGTGCTAGCCTATAGGCTGCCCTAGGCCCTATACCTTGCCTACGTCTACGGTCAGACAGTCTAGGGTCTACGTACGTCATGGGGAGTTTACCATGTGGCCTATATAGTCGTGTTCCCTAACGGGGCGCACTCTGAAGCCTACCCGACTTTCCTCGTGTAGAGTTGCCAAACCTCTTATTATTATTAATGCTTGCGATTTAACCTCTGTGAACAATTTCAGTTTCATAAAATTTAATCAGAAATTCAAATAGGTGGTGTCCGAAAAATGGGCACAAATTGGCAGAGTGTTCCTAACATGGCGCACTTGAATAAATCTCAAAAAATTCCAAATTAACATTTAAGAATTTCTGTAAATTTGATAAATTCTGACATACCCAGCCAGATGTTTGTCACAAGGCATTTTCAAAGGGTTCACTTTTCACTTGAAAATGAAATTGGAAAATCACGCCAAAATAAATTGTTTTTTCTTAATTTGTTACGGGTAAATAAACTCGCGATTTGAACAGGAGTGTTTCGAACTTGATGAAATTTTACTTTCTTTGAAATTTCAGTAAAAAGTTTTGCTCTAGATAGGCCCTAGGCGCTACAGGCGAAAAATCAAAGTGCGCTATGTTGGGGCCGGCCGCGCCACGTTAGGGTACATCAAGAATCGGCACAGGTAACGCTTTCAAATGCACGCACGTTGTCACACACAAATTGAAGGTAGATGCGTAGAAAAAGGACCGCGTAGCTAGCTAGGGGGTCTGACGATTGTTTGTAAGCCCAGGCTAACGACGATGTTAGGCCTAGGCTCTTGCCTAGCCTAGTCCGAGTAACTTGGCTGCACAAATCAACTTTTTTAACATTTGGACTGGTTTGGCGATAGTAGCGTCCAAGCGCAAACTTGCGTTGAAATCCCTGCGTGTGACACTTCAAAAAAAAATAAAAAAAATAAAAATAACCTTGATCATTTTCAGCCCCAAATAGCCATAAAACGACAAGATATGCAGCCTAAGACATGTAAGATATTTGTAGACTTCCCTGATTAAGTGGGTGGTACACTGGTTGACTTACCATCTGGACGGAAAGTGGAATTCGCAGCTACATTCCGACAATATTCCGACACTTGAAACGGCTGTTTTAAGTGCCGCGCGATGGCAGCCCCTGCGCGATGGCAGCCTCGAGGAAACATTCGGTATAATGCAAGCACTCCTTTGCACGCAGCAGCATCATGATTATGCACACGTCACGTGAGCCCGGGGTCACATGGTCATAACAACAATAGCCGACAATTCAAATACATTTTACGCGAACGCCACGCAGTGAGAACGTGAGAAGAACGTGAGAAGAACTTGTCGGAATATAGCTGCAAATTCCACTTTCTGTCCAGCATGTCCAGATGGTAAGTCACTGGCAGTATACCACCCACTTAATCAGGGAAGTCTACAGATATCTTTCATGTCTTAGGCGGCATATCTTGTCGTTTTCTGGCTATTTGGGGGCTGAAAATGTTCAAGGTTATTTTAATTTTTTAAATTTTTTGGGACGTGTCACACGCAGGGATTTCAACGCGAGTTTGCGCCTGGACGCTACTATCGCCAAACCAGTCCAAATGTTAAAAAAGGCGATTTGTGCGGCCAAGTTACTCGGACTATGCCTAGCCTAGGCTAGCCAGGGTAGGCCTAACGTTATACTTGACTACCTAGCTGGAGTTACCCAGCCCTGAGTTTTATCATTGGGTTGTCTATTAGGGCTGGAGCGAATTTTTCTCGTAACTTGTAGTATTTGCAAAAAAATTTGGAAAATGTTCAATTTTGTCCCCGTTACACACTAATTGCAACTGCAACTCACCCCAAACTTGCCTGGAATAACCATTACACAGGTCCTTGAAGTAAAAAACGATCCACGATGAAGATTCAGCCTACAATTGCAGTGATCATTTTCAGCCCCCAAATAGCCATAAAACGACAAGATATGCAGCCTAAGACATGTAAGATATTTGTAGACTTCCCTGATTAAGTGGGTGGTACACTGGTTGACTTACCATCTGGACGGAAAGTGGAATTCGCAGCTACATTCCGACAATATTCCGACACTTGAAACGGCTGTTTTAAGTGCCGCGCGATGGCAGCCCCTGCGCGATGGCAGCCTCGAGGAAACATTCGGTATAATGCAAGCACTCCTTTGCACGCAGCAGCATCATGATTATGCACACGTCACGTGAGCCCCGGGGTCACATGGTCATAACAACAATAGCCGACAATTCAAATACATTTTACGCGAACGCCACGCAGTGAGAACGTGAGAAGAACGTGAGAAGAACTTGTCGGAATATAGCTGCAAATTCCACTTTCTGTCCAGCATGTCCAGATGGTAAGTCACTGGCAGTATACCACCCACTTAATCAGGGAAGTCTACAGATATCTTTCATGTCTTAGGCGGCATATCTTGTCGTTTTCTATTTGGGGGCTGAAAATGTTCAAGGTTATTTTAATTTTTTAAATTTTTTTGGGACGTGTCACACGCAGGGATTTCAACGCGAGTTTGCGCCTGGACGCTACTATCGCCAAACCAGTCCAAATGTAAAAAAAGGCGATTTTTTGCGGCCAAGTTACTCGGACTATGCCTAGCCTAGGCTAGCCAGGGTAGGCCTAACGTTATACTTGACTACCTAGCTGGAGTTACCCAGCCCTGAGTTTTATCATTGGGTTGTCTATTAGGGCTGGAGCGAATTTTTCTCGTAACTTGTAGTATTTGCAAAAAAATTTGGAAAATGTTCAATTTTGTCCCCGTTACACACTAATTGCAACTGCAACTCACCCCAAACTTGCCTGGAATAACCATTACACAGGTCCTTGAAGTAAAAAACGATCCACGATGAAGATTCAGCCTACAATTGCAGTGAAAACAGGAGGAATAACCGCTAACTTGACAACCTTGCTGGATTGGCCAGGACCGCCATTGGTTTGTGCACAAAAAAAATTGTGTACGGGCCCTTAAGCGGGCCCCGAAGCCCAACTGTAATTTTTTGACCCACTTTTTTGGGGGGGACCAAAATTTCTTTGCCCCCCCCCCCCCAATTGTGTTCTGGATCCGCCCTTGCGTGATGATGTGTCACTCATGTGACTATAAATTAGTTCTATATCAGTGGTCATTTCATAAAACAGGGCCTTGGCCTTGGCCTTGGCCTTGGCCTTGAGGGTTAAGCCTTGGCCTTGGCCTCGAGGCTCGAGGGTCAAAGCCTTGGCCTTGGCCTTGGCCTTGAGGGTCAAAGCCTTGGCCTTGGCCTTGGCCTTGAGGGTCAAAGCCTTTGCTCCAATACTGTTGGTAACCATCATTTTCGGATTTAGCACCTCCAAATTAGGTAAAATATGTTACCAACTCCTACTCGAAAATGCCTCTTCTTGGCCTTTATGAGCCCTTTTTTAAAATATCGCCTAGTCTATGACACCTTTTTTTCGTGTGGAGATTAAACAGTAAGTCACATCCATCGAACATGTCGAACGTGACTTTGTGCTAAGATCATGGCATGCAAAAACAAACACACACTTGTCTTGTAATAGGGATTCCCCTGGTGCCTCTGGTCTCTCCTCGGTTCATCTAAGGAAACACAAGATTCACAATGAACAAGTAGTTGGTGTGATGTTTCCCACTGGATAATTAAACTATATTTTACAAATGCATATATATGTATAAAACCTGGTGTGGTGAATATATTGACGATGTGAATAATGAAACCTGGCATGTTGAATGTTTTGTTAAATACATTGTAAATTTAATTCATCTCTGTGTCGTTGCAGGACTCTGGCATCTTTCAAAATGACGTCAGTACAGGGAGCCGGAGATAAACAAAGGGAGGAAGCCGACGTCGTTTGTCATTCTGAAGCATCTCAGAATCCCGTCGACTGCTTGCCAAATGAAATCCTATGGAAGATAATTGGTTTTCTGTCGTTAGAAGACTTGTGTTATCTGGCTGTATGCAGCAAGACATGGAGGAACGTTACCAACACCAACAGCCTCTGGCTTCATCTTTGTAAGCTGAGAGATTGGGAGCGTTTTGGTACGGAAGTAGATCTCCGCAAAGAGACGCCAATCCACTCTACAGGGACCAGCACCAGTGGTACCAGTCCAACCTTTCAGACTGATTCGGTCATTAATGACGACTGTAACCTGAAGGATCTTGCACCAACCTGTGAATGGAAGGAGGTGTACATGAGAGCTTGGCATCTGGACAGGAACTGGTCTGAGGGGCGTTACCAGGAGCACAGTCTTGTGTTGTCCGACTCAGGGTCTGACTTTAATAATGCGACAACAAGATGTGTAGCAAGTGATGGCACGATATTTGGGGCCGGTGATACTACCGAGTATGTGGGACTCTGGGAGTTGAAATTTAGTGGACAATTTCTGCAGAAGATTCAACCCTCCAAATATATCCCCTTACCACGAACATCTTATAATGAGATAGAAGCTATGACCATGAAGGATAACATAGGGGTGGCTGCTTTCATGGGAGGTATTCTGGTATTTGAAGCCAGCACAGGCAATGTTTTGAAACTGATCCGGGGTACGGCGAGTGACTTTGATAGATACAAGCCGTCTGGTCTGTACATGGAAGAAGACAAAGTCATTGTATCATACAGGCATTACCAGAGGGCGGATAACGATGAAGGTATTCCTGTGCACATTTGGGATATCAGTGGCTTGGTTGAGGTCGGAGATAACGTTGCATGTACAGAAACCAAACTTTGCACAGATAGCTTAAATGTTTCCATAGGGAAACACATGAAATGTTTTGCTTGCCATGGGCACTGGGTAATCACTTCCTTTGAAGATGAGACTGCATTCATACTGTGGGATACGCGAACGTCTCAGCATGTACGGGTATACAGGGGACACACTGGTCAGGTTCGTAGTGGTCGTCTTGATGAAAACACTATCTTAACTGGTGATGCTGTCGGAGTGATTAGAGTGTGGACAACTGAATCTGATGTTTGCATCAAAACGCTGTCACAAATCCCCGTTTTGTCATCCAAAGGTGCTTTTCAACGAGCAGGTATTGCTGCCGTCGTATTCACGCCGTATGAAGACAAACAAGACTTGGTTTTCTGGAGCCGCGATGGCTCACTCCTGAACAAGCACAAGTCAAAAGTGAATAGTTACAAATTCCACGGTAAGAGACTTGTCACACTTGACTTGTATAGAGACCAGGTTTCCGTATGGGAGGTATCCACTGATAAATGTCTTTTGAATCACAAGGAATTAAGTCCTGAACCGCGTAACTTAGTACACATAGATGACACAAAGATTGTGTTTCATTATTATCAAAGCCGGCTTGCTTTCATTCTCCAGTACTGGTAGAAAAAATAAGAAAAAAATAAGCACTTATGTTTAATTCGTCTCTTTTTCTTTTGCCTGACGATTAATCATACACTGAGTGCATATGTAAAAAAGTTAGGCAAAATGGCAAAATGGGTTGACTATTCGACCAACGATGGACGAATAAAACACACGTTCAACTATTGGGCAAAATTGCCCATACATATTGCGTTGTTTATATTTTGGCCAAGTAATTATATGTCCAACATGTATACATGCATGTCAAGTTTAGCGTTTGTCCGCCCATTGATCAAAATATGTTTTTGACCAGAGAGACTGTACAAATGACTGTTGCTCAATCCGAACATATTTTGTGGTATCCATCATTTTTGTAACTTGAATTTAGTAAGGTCTCTCAGAACACCTAATCGAGCCACAAAGAAAAATGATAAAAAAGTTATCAGTGAAGTGATACATAACTAGAGCCATGCTTATTGGAACTTGACGAAAACTCTGAAGTATTGAGCTAAAAGTCAGTATTGCTGGTAGACCAGTTGTAAAGGTGAACTCTTGTAAATGTTTAGGTGTTATTATTGCTGAAACTTTAAGTTGGGGCCCACACGTTGAATACGTGAAGAAATGTGTTTCCTCTAAACTAGGTATGCTAAATAGAATCCGCGACTATATTCCCAAAGCAGACTGCACTCTCTTTTTGTTAGCTTAGTTATGCCATCATTAGATTATTGTAGTACTGTATGGGGAGGGCGGTACATATGTTCTAATAATATTCTTAATAAATGTCTGAAAAGAGCAGCGCGGATAATCCTGAAGTGTGCATTCTTAACATCATCAGTCGATATGTTTGCTAGACTTAATTGGATGTCATTTTCTGAAAGAGTTGAGTATAAAAAGGCTATTCTTGTTTAAACAAACTTACTCCTCTGTATATGACAAATCTGTTTAAACCACTTATTCAGACTCGTGAAACGAGACAATCCACTGGCATGACACTGAGGATTCCTTTTGCGAAAAAAGAATGTTATGGCAGCTGTATTCGTGGGCTTTGGCTTGGGGGGGGATCACGCATTTTTTTTCCATTTACTTTTAGAAGTTTGATTTTTTTTTTTTTTAAACATTGCCCATACACATTTTTTGGCCGTAGAAAACAATTTTTTTTTTGGGGGGGGGGGGGCTGGACTATTTTGATGTTGGTGGCGCCATTTTACACCCTATTATACTCCTCGAAAAATAGGCCACATACACCACGATCAAATGGGGACGAACACAAAGTGACAAAAAAATATTGAATAATTGACAACCTCCTGGGGAGGGGGGGGGGGGGGGGGGGCTCAAGCCCGCCATGGCCCCCCCCCCTTGGGTCTGCCATTAATTATTAGTTATCCCACGAGCGCGCTTGGAACACAGAATAATGCTGTGCGTCTGTGTCCCAATACCAATGGCCCAATAACACACGACACACTTCACATAATACATACATACATTCGATTTTGCGGGGTGCAATAAAGTCGTGCAATAATATATAAATATCACACTGTTGTTGCTATGGATAGACTGATCATGATCGAGGATTCAATTTTGCTTGAAGATAATACTCAATATCGCAATCAAAATTACCTTACTCATTCAAGACTGTATTCACCGTGCTTCTTGAAATTTACTAACTTTCACAAACTTGGAATTTAGCCTGTGTACTGATGACGTCACACTTTGTTCTAACGTGTGGGCTTTCCTATGGTGCTCAGTGGACCGTGGGCCCCCACTGGCTCCATAGGAAAGTGCACATGTAAACTAAGTGTGACGTCATCAGTACAGAGACTTATTGAGTTCCTTCTACATGAATTTCACCTGGATGTGTGTCCGCTGTACTGGGTGCGGGTAGAAAGCATAGAGCTGTTGCATACCCTGAACAGTCACTGCTGATGAGAATCGACTCTCAAGGAATTCCTCCGCGCTGTTATAGTTCACTTGTGTCTACAAAATCAAACTGTATTCCTGGAATATTCACCTTACAAATACAGCTGCTGAGCATTCAAGATTTGTTCTTCAAAGGGCTTCTGAAGACTCTGAAGCCCGCCCCCAAGCAAAATCCTGGGTGCGCCACTGCTAATAGCTTTTTGTCAGAGTCTGGTTAGACCTCATCAGCCCTCAACATGACAAATTACCATTTTTTTTCTAGTGGATTCTGATAGACATGCTCTATCAAGGCATTTTCATTTCTTTTTGGAATGATACATTGTTACAAAAATTGGGTCAAAGGTCACAGTCGCATATTACAGGTCATGGTGACCTACTTTTCACAAAATGCTATTCTCATTATTTTGATACCAAATGTGCATATATTTGATGAAAATTGACATGGTTTTGACATGTTTGGACTAAAAGGGTGGTATTTTAATCTAAAATGTAAATTTTTTTGTGGTTTCTGCCCTGACCACATGGTAGGTCTGATCGGGCAAAAAAATTGGTGTGTATTCATTGCTCATCAGGATCTACAAGCACAGCAATTTTTATCAAAATCGGAAGACATGAGGTAACAAAGTGCGTTGGTCTGACATGGAATGACCGTTAATAGTAAAGCCTGTTAGCGATGTTGTTTCACACTGTACATTAAATGGACGTGTTACTGTCAATAGCATACTGCTCACATTATAGTTGTATACTATTATACACTGCTCACATCAGTAGTTTTCTGCTTTCTAAATTTAGGATTGTAAATTCAACTTCACTTTACATGGAAAGTCTGTGCGAAGACTGATGATTGTCTTGTCCAATGGAATGAGCGTTGATCCCATCCTCCTTATGGTGCACTGACAAATATCTGACTACAGCGAGCTAACCGCTGCATTAGGAATTCTTATAAAGTGATAGGTTAAAGGAGAATCTCAGTTCCTGTGAACTAGTAACCATTGCCCTGCAGACGTAAACATTCATTGACCTCAAAAAATACAGAAGAATGTTTTCCCCCAAATATCAGTTGTTTCCTTTCTGGTATATAGCACAGATGAGCTACATGGATCTGGTATGCGGATGTAAGGTAGGCCTGCATTTTCCCGGATCGAATATCCTCTTGAAACAGTAATTAGACATGATGATACATACAAAGGGGGTCCACCCTATGTTCCCCAGTCCCTATGTTCCCCAGTCCATATGTGTTCCCCAGTCCCTATGTTCCCCAGTCCATATATGTTCCGCTCACGTGAAAGATGTGTCAGAGGTGCCGATGGACAAAACACGAAAAGAAACCAGAAAATACAAACACCCAAATTTACAAATACTTTTCTTTTACATTTTTGATTTAGTTCTCAGGCATTTCATTTAATTATTCAATAACTCCTAATTGTTGAAAGCAAACAAGACGAAAAAAAAGGCCCAGGCCTCTAGACCTAACATTAACACAAATATACACAGTCCTCGTAAGGTCACATCTGTATATCGCCCTCAATAGCTCTTTGGTTGACAATGGGACTATAGTCAGCATCCTGTTGTACATTTGTATTCATTTTGCAGGTCTGTGAACTCGTGACTACACATAAAATTGAGGAAGTGATTTCACAAAAAAATATAAGGCATAATAAATGAAACGTACATGTTGAAAAACACAATTAAACTTGGATGAGGCTTATAGATTTCTTTCAGATTGGAAGTGGAACGAATTAGTTTGCCAGAGTGAGTTGCGATAAAAATTTGGTTACATTTATTTGTATCTAGGCATTACTAATTTTACAGCGGAAACGGGTAAACATTTAAGTTTAGCTTCAGTAAATTTGCCATATAACATGAAGTTAATTCAATTGGACTGTTACATGTACGACTTGGGAATTGAGTGTTTGAGTATAGTGAGTATTGTGTATTTAACGTGAACATGATGGATCATCACAAAATACAAACATCCTTCGGACCCTCAGCTGACGTCCGGGCAGGTAATAAAAATACAACCCCTGTCTTGAAATAGAGCTGAAAGTTTCCTCTTGGTTCCTCTGGTCTCTCTTCAAATCATCTCAGATACCACAATTTTCACAATGAACAGGTAGTTGGTGCGATATTTTCTCCGGAATACTTTGCCAACTTTCGTCTGAAGATATAGATATTAATATATCTAGGCATATTTATAAAAACTTTTGTCATGCATAAACATTCGTGATGTGCAAATATTAAACACTGAATGTTCACTAGTGGAATACATTTCAATTATCTCTGGGTCATTACAGGATTCTGGCATCTTTCAGAATGACTTCAGCACAAGAAGATACACACAAGAGTGATGTCGACGATGTCTGTCATTCTGAACCATCCACATGCTCTCTGGATCCCGTCGACTGCTTGCCAAATGAGATCCTATTGAAGATAATTGGTGTTCTGTCGGTTGAACACTTGTGTCACCTGGCTGTATGCAGCAAGGCATGGAGGAATGTAACCAACACAAACAGCCTTTGGCTTCATCTTTGTAAGCTGAGGGATTGGGAGCGTTTTGGTACGGAAGTAGATCTCCGCAAAGAAAAGCCAATTCACTCTATAACCAACAAGCACGGCAAATGCTGTACAACTAGCACCCGCACCGGGCCAACTTTTCAGGCTGATTCGGTCATTACTGTTGACTGTAACCTGAAGGAACTGCACCAACCTGTGAATGGAAGGAGGTGTACATGAGAGCTTGGCATCTGGACAGAAACTGGTCCAAGCCACGTTACCGAGAGCACTGTGTTGAATTGTCTGAAAACACTACACTTGCGTCTTTAGCAAGTGATGGCAGAACACTTGCAGGTGGTAGTGAGTCTGGGTTTATTTTTCTCTGGGATGTTTATAGTGGACGTGTTAAGAAGAAAATTCCACCTCCAGAATTTACCGATTCACGCGGACAAATCCAAAGATATAGATGGGCGCATAAAATTGTTGTGAAGAATAATCTTGGAGTGGCTGCCTTCAGGGGCGGTTTGGTTGTATTTGAATTCAGTACAGGCAATGTTCTAAAAACGATCAGAGGAACGGAGAGTAACTTTGGTGATTATTGGCCATCTGGCCTGCACCTGGAAGAAGACAAAGTAATTGTCTCTTACAGGCTTGACCGGACGTGGCATCGCGGTGAAGGTGTTCCTGCACACATTTGGGATATCAGTGGTTTGGTCGAGGGTGAAATTACTGAGACCATACTCTGCACCGATAGCTTAAATGTGTCCATTGGGGAGGAAATGAAATGTTTTGCTTGCCATGGGCACTGGGTTATCACGTCCTTTAAAGATGCGACTGCATTCATACTGTGGGATACGCGAACGTCTCAGCATGTACGGATGTACAGGGGACACTCCGGCAAGGTTCACTGTGGCCATCTTCATGAAAACACTATTATGACTGGTGACAGTATTGGCGAGATTAAAGTGTGGACAACTGAATCTGATGTCTGCATAAAAACAATTTCAGTAAATTCTGATAAACCCATCAATACTATACTCTTCAATGATACAGGTATTGCTGCCTACAACACCCCTAACGTGGTTTTCCTGAACCGAGATGGCATAATATTAGACACGCAATACAAGTTCTACATAGCAAGTAGTGGGAAAATAATCAGAAACAGAATTGTCACGAACACCTGAGATGCGCGCGGAGCAAGTTGCATATATGATGTCTCAACTGGTAAATGTCTTTCTCGGAAATTTTATTATTATCCAGCGTGTCCTTTGTTACATATAAACGATACAAAGATGATATATTATGGATCATTCTGTATTTGGATTACGGAATACTGGTAGGAATCCTGAAAGTAACGTGTACTTGTCGTGTCGGAACATAATTATAAACAATGTCCGACACACGAAATTATGCAATGGATCAGGAGTGGCAGCTCATGAAATACGAAATATTATCGTTGTTATGACATCTGCGAATAGGTATTTCATTTGCGAAATAAGCACTTCATTACAAATTTCTTGAGAGAAAAAAGAAGTTCGACTGTTTAGCTGTGGCGACATCGACTCCAACACAAAATGCCGCGCGTCTTGAACAGATTAGTGAAACTATCCAAGGGACAGCTGAAGACCGATAGGGTTTAGGGGTTACATGGATTAGGGACGAAGCAAATGGCTTGTGTTATAAAAATGTCCAGTGATCAAAATGCGTATTATCTTTCTGTAAAATAACACATTTCAACCAGAATATAAAAATAGAAACATAACAGTACCAAAGTACCAAAAGCTTTCTCTCTAATGGTGATTCTTTAAATCACTGACCCAATCTTGGCATAAATAACTTTCAGTGTGATTCTTTTGGACGAATCTGTTTATTCAAAATGACCGATAAATCTGTAATCGTTTACGTTTACTTATGATACAAATATGCTTGCGTATATAAAGAGTACGCGACTTCACAAACAAATTTGAAACGAGAAATTGACAAGTGTATAATGTGCGGCTTCACGAACCACAAGTATCAGCCGGTTGTTTGTAATTGAGTAACTCCATTCAATGACCACTTATAGTGACCACTTGCTCACCTTTAACCTAAACCTTTAACCTAAATTTGGCTATCAACGGGAGTATTAATGTATTATTGACTACTGACGTTTGGCTGAAATCATTCGGAAAAATCAGAAAAGAGTAAATAGGAGCGCAACAGGTGTACGGGTATGAGGTTTAAGATTTTGAAAAGGAAAATGAACAATGAAAATATAAAGACGACTGAGAAAATGACACCTTATCTGTTCCTAATGACACCTTATCTGTTCCTATGGAGATCATGCTTGGTGATGATCGAGTGATGAACACAGGATCCATCCAATCAGCTCTTTTCAATTTTCAATTCAATTCAGTTGACATTTATTTAGCACTCTCCAATAAACCAATACTTTTACACCCTCTTCTCTTTCAATCTGATCTAACGAAGGTATCTCATAGTAGTACACGTCCCAAGGGAGACCATTCACAGCGCAATCAAGACCTCCTATTTATAAAAGCACACAGATCTTTCAATCACAAACATCTTTTAACAAAAATAACAAATTTCGACCGTTTCTTTCAGCCCCAAGGACGCGTTACACTAAACTTATTGCAGCTTGCAGCTATCTTTATCGCCGTATTAAAGAAACCCTTCCGATGGTCGAATTTCTACTATACATTATTCAAGGAACTAAACATGTTAAACTTCTTGCATGGGTCTTTGCAGCAAAAAGGCTGGCCATTCAGCAGACATGCTTTCGAAACCAAGGTGTCAGGGTCGGATCCAGCAATTTTTGCGGGGGGTGTCAGGACCGTCAGATTTGTTTCTACGTCCGATTGTTGCGAACAGGCGGACATATAGTAATTATTTTTAATATAATGGTTATAATTTTTGTTTTTGTGTGTGTCAGAGCAGGGGGATTGGTTTGTCCCCCAAAACCTTCCCTCTGGATCCGAGTCTAAACAACACAACAACCTAGATTATGGAATTGAATTGATAATTTACTGCAGGCAATACATTAGTTATAAGCTTTTCCATGAGACATCGAGCGAGAAAATCGGCCCACAAGAAATCACTAAATTAATTTCAGCTTGTATTAAGAGCGGGACGCTCCTTATTCGTTCTGAAGCCAGTAGGACCTAGTGTGCGCATGCGATTTGGCAACTGTGCAGTTTATGAATAATAATTTTAACAGCTGGAGCTGTACAGATAAAGTAACAGCGAGCAACTAATCAATGCTTCTGAATTTAGGGCAGATACAAAAGAAAATGATGGTTTATAAGTGGTTTTTAAGATTAAAGGGGCATTTTGTATGAAAAATACACCACATTTCTTAAATACACTGCTATTATAAGCAAATGCTTCATATTTATAAAGACGTGATTAACATAGCTGTTTTACCTAATTCGGGGGTGCTGAATTCGAAAATGATGGACACCAAGCTAAATTCTTAGCTTTAAGTGGTATCACTGTCAATTAAAAAATATCAATAAATAAAGGCTTTAATTTTTAACTTTTTACAATTTTAAAATTTCCAAATCATTTCTAGATGCTAAAAACAACCAAATATATAAATCTAACCCCAAAACACCCCAAAACCTAGGAAAGGGTTTACTAAGCTTGAAGGGGATGACAAGAGGTAAAACATTTCCCCTCCCTGTGATCATGTTGTCAACCCCCCCCCCCCCCCATTTCATTGGAGATTTAATCATTTTCAAAGGACATCTACTTGAGTTAGAAAGGAAATGTTGTGTGCCATTTAATGTAACTCAAAATGACTCAGTGTAATTCAGCTGCTTGGAAAATACATTATTGACAAATTACACACTCATTGAAAAATCTTCAGTAGAGGCACATTGTGTACTTAAGCAATTAGGAATGAAATCACTACAGATTGTATTTAACTGACAAAACTAAAGCCGAACTCCTAAAAGCAGTCAATTATAAAAAAAAATGCTTTCCCCGTACAATGTTGCCCTTTAATCTTTAATCTTAATAGCTCTTTATACATCATCTTCACATTCATCTGCCCTAAGTTTTGTTTGTTACTGCCTTTTGCAAATCCTCTGCTGAATGGTTCGAGTAATACACAAGAAAATCGGACAGTACATTTAAAAATGTACATGTAGGAGCATACCACCTCAGTAAAACAAATACAACAGTAAAAATCAACAAACCCGTTTGCTGCCTGTTTTGGGGGTTAGAGTTATATTCGGTTGTTTTCGGCATCTGGAAATCAAATCAGTTAAAACCTTTTAAAATGTTAGAGTTTAAAAAGTAATGGCTTTATTTATTGATCGTTTTATTGACGGAAATGTCACGTTAAGCTTAGAATTTAGCTAAGTATCCAACATTTACAGATTTAACATCCACAAATTAGGTAAATTAGCTGTGTTAAAAACTTCTATATAGAAATAAAGCATTTGCTCACGAAATCAGTCTATAAAATAGCATGTTTTTTTCATACAAAATGCCCTTTAAATCTAAAACCCCCAGCTTTTTGAACATCATGTTCTGTTTATCTGCCCTGAATTCAGCTGCATTTTTTTAACTGCCTTTTACTTCTGGTTCAAAGAGTAATATAAAAAAAAATCACCTGTGACAGTGCACTTAAAGATGTAAATATTATAATCGTGTTAAATGTTAAATTAAAAAAAAAAAATGAGTAAAAATGAAGAGTTCGAAAAAGAGTTTCTTCCGCTACTTCTTGGAATTGTGCAACAGTCGAAGGCAGGCTGGGAGTGTGGATTCTTTCTCCTTATTTTAGAACCCGCTCAGAGCACGAAGATTGAGAGAGGCCATGATGGAAAGCGCAACCGATCGATATACTTCATTCATCAACTATAAGGCACGGCATGCACACAAGGCACACATGCCACGTTTACCAGCCTCACTTATGGTTGCAGACCAGTAAATAAACTTCCATAGGCCCCAATGGTAAATGCTCCCACTTCAGAAATTCGGGAAATACTCACAACTCTCCAAGGTGTTCGAGACACACATCAAAGTAAAGCTTATTTCATCATCTTTCATTTTCTTTTCAATTTTTTTTTGGGGGGGTTAACTAATGACTTTTAGGAGAAATTGCCATCCGAAGATGATCACCTCTGAAAATAGTCCTGAAGCCAGTCGCCATGTTGAAAAACGATGCCTGCACTCCATTGCAAAATAGAGCGCTTTAAGGGCCGCAATTCCATCCAAATTGAACGGAACTACAAGCTCACAGTCCTGTGCACGGCTTCCACCCATATTGTTTACAAATCCTCAAGTTCATGGCCCACAGCATGCTCAAATACTGAAGATTTTGAGGGCATGCAAATCGTGATTTGGCCGGCGCAGGCAATTTCGGACCGATTTACTGGTCTGCAACCTTATAAACAACAGTGGGTAGTTGGCTGCCATGTCAACCGCCACTCTACAAACAATACTTCCCAAACTTGTTTACACGTCCTCAGTAAAAAAAAAATAATCGTGGCGAGTTTACAAGTCCTTCTAAATGGAAGACATATGACACTGTACTTCTGATATGGACTTGGGGCTTCCAATTCTAAGCATTTTGGATGCAATTGGGTCCGAAAGAGGCGCTACTGATTTAGCCATGTTGTGGAGGGATCCTTATTCCAAATTCCAGTTCTTGAAACATCAGTCGTCTTGGTCAACCCACCAAGAATTGAAAAGGAAATGATAGATGACATGTTGATAATCGTTTTTCTGTGCAGCCTGAACAGTGAACACCTGTGAGAGTATTTTCAGTAGAATTTTGAAGTATGGGGATTGAACACTGGTGTCTATGGGAATTTATTTGCTTTGGTGCACATACAAGGTCAAACTCATACAACGCCCTCAATAGCTACTTGGTTCACTTTGTGACTATAGTTAGAATCCTGTTGTGCATTTGTATAATTTTGTGTGTGTGTTCGTATTCGTGACTAGACTTCACACTGCGGAAGTGATTTCATTATAATCAACAGGGGCTGAAAATAGAATGAATTTGTATTTCAAAAACTACTCAATTCTGTGCGAGAATTGCATTGTTTCTTTCACATCGGAATGAGAAGGTATGAGTTTGTCAGGGTGAGTTGAGATTTTTGGTCACATGTATTTGCAGCTTATCAACAGATGGCCTATGGTAAATCAGACTGGCTGAGTTTATGCGCGAATT